GTGCTTATCCAACCACACTGGTTGTGATTCAAGCCATCTAAGACATTCATCAAGAGAGGTGTTGTGACTTGCACTCTTTTCCTTGGTTTGGTTTTGTCCCATTTGGGTTTTCTGAACTTAGGTTTTTAATGAGGCTTGGACACAACACTCATACAAAAGCCTCTTGATGAAGCTAAGCCCATTTCTATCCTATTTTCGTTCAGAACTCTCTTAGGAGCCTTTTTTTATTTTCAAATTTAAACTCAGTCTTTGTTTTAATTGTTTTGTGTGCTTCCAAGAAGCTGTGCATGTACAGTCTTCTTCTCTATATATTATGGACGAAAATGATCAATAAAATCATCAAACTCTTTTCTAAAAACCCAAGAATTCTCTGAATCCTGTTTGATCATTGTTTGTCTTGTTTATGTTCTGATTTCGAATCTGCATCTTCAAGCAAATCTAAGATAGTCTAAGGGCCTTTCCGCATCTCTTAGAAGTATCAATTCAATCCTTTACTTGTTTCATCATCACATTCGTTGGAGAGCATTCAGGGACGTGATCCTCTCAGCTAGTAAAGGATTGAATTGATACTTCTAAGAGATGCGGAAAGGCCCTTAGACTATCTTAGATTTGCTTGAAGATGCAGATTCGAAATCAGAACATAAACAAGACAAACAATGATCAAACAGAATTCAGAGAATTCTTGGGTTTTTAGAAAAGAGTTTGATGATTTTATTGATCATTTTCGTCCATAATATATAGAGAAGAGGACTGTACATGCACAGCTTCTTGGAAACACACAAAACAATTAAAACAAAGACTGAGTTTGAATTTGAAAATAAGAAAATGCTCCTAAGAGAGTTCTGGACGAAAATATGATAGAAATGGGCTAGAAATGGGCTTAGCTTCATCAAGAGGCTTTTGTATGAGTGTTGCGTCCAAGCCTCATTAAAAACCTAAGTTCAGAAAACCCAAATGGGACAAAACCAAACCAAGGAAAAGGGTGCAAGTCACAACACCTCTCTTGATGAATGTCTTAGATGGCTTGAATCACAACCAGTGTGGTTGGATAAGCAAAATCTAGACTTCCCTGGATAGTGTATAAGAGTTGGTTAAGAGCTTGTTGGAATCTTGCTTTCTTGGATCTTGTCATGGAACCAAGTGGCACGTCTAGGTCCTTGTCCTTTGTTTCCTCAGGTTCAAGCTGGTCTTCAGTTCCATCTTTCTCATCTTTAAGCTTTGGTTCAAGCTGTTCTATCTCCTTAGTTCCTTTGCTGGTCAGGATCATATCATCCTCTCCCAATTGAGAAGGATTTGACCTCAAATCCGCTTTTTCTGCAAAATAAGGAACTAAATCAGTAACATTGAAGCTTGAGCTCACATTATACTTACATTGCAATTCCAATTGGTAGTGATTGTTGTTGATCTTTCTGATGATTTTGGAAGGACCATCGATCCTAGGCATGAGCTTGGATTTTCTTTCATTAGGGAACCTCTCCTTCCTCAGGTGTATCCAAACTAAATCTCCTTCTTCAAAAAGCAGTTCCTTTCTTCCTTTGTTGGCTTGCTTGACATAGAGTTTGGTCTTGTTTTCTATATTGTTTCGGGCCTTCTCATGTATCTGCTTAACAAGCTGAGCTTTCTTTTTCCCATCAAGACTAACTCTTTACTCAAAGGTAAAGGCATTAGATCCAAAGGTGATAAAGGACTGAATCCATAAACAATTTCAAATGGAGAAAACTTAGATGCATAATGCTTCGCATGATTATAAGCAAACTCTACATGAGGCAAACAATCTTCCCAAGTTCTAAAGTTCTTTTTAATCAATGTACGCAACAAGGTAGACAAATTTCTATTGAAAACTTCAGTTTGTCCATCAGACTGTGGATGACAAGTAGTAGAGAAACACAATTTAGTTCCTAATTTAGACCACAACGTTTTCCAAAAGAAACTAAGGAACTTAGTGTCTATATCAGAAACAATTGTCCTAGGCATGCCATGAAGTCTAACAATCTCCTTAAAGAACAAATTAGCAACATTCACAACATCATCAGTCTTATGGCAGGGAATTTTAGAAAACCTATCAACGACAACAAATACTGAATCTTTTCCAGTATTAGTTTAGGTAATCCAACAACAAAATCCATTGAAATGTCATGCCATGGATGCAAAGGAATGGGTAAAGGAGTATACAGACCATGGTTTTGGATTTTAGACTTAGCTTGCTTGCAAGTGACACACCTTTCACAAGCTTTTTCCACATCTCTTCTCATGTGTGGCCAAAAGAAGTGCTCTTGCATTACATTCATAGTTTTAGCCACGCCAAAATGCCCTCTAAATCCACCTGCATGAGCTTCTTTGACAAAAAAATCTCTCAAAGAGGAGTTAGGCACACATAGTCTATTTTCAAAGAAGAGAAAACCATCATTCTTGAAGTACTTACCATGACCAAACTTCTCACAAGAAGCATATATGTCTTTAAAATCAGAATCAGTGGCATATAAAGTCTTGATATGCTCAAATCCAAGTAACTTAGTTTCAAGAGTGTTTAAGAGAACATACCTTCTAGATAGTGCATCAGCAACTATATTTTCCTTACATTTCTTGTATTTGATCACATAGGGGAAGGTCTCAATGAATTCAATCCACCTAGCATGTCTCTTGTTTAGTTTCTGCTGTCCCTTTAGATGCTTAAGAAACTCATGATCAGTGTGAATGACGAACTCCTTGGGCCAAAGATAATGTTGCCACGTCTGCAGGGCCCTCACAAGTGCATAGAGTTCTTTGTCATAAATTGGGTAGTTCACAGTAGCTCCTCCAAGTTTCTCACTAAAGAAAGCTATAGGTTTCTTCTCCTGCATTACCACATCACCTACTCCAACACCAGATGCATCACATTCTATTTCAAATGTCTTAGAAAAATCAGGAAGAGAAAGAACTGGTGAATTGGTAAGTTTCTCCTTCAATGCTTGAAAGGCCTCCTCATGTGCTTGTTCCCACTTAAACCCAACGTTTTTCTTGATCACTTCAGTGAGTGGTGCAGCCAAAGTACTGAAATCCTTGACAAATCTTCTGTAGAAACCAGCTAGACCATGAACGCTTCTCACTTCACCAACAGTTTTCGGACTTGGCCATTCTTTGATAGCTTTGATCTTTTCTTCATCAACCTGGATTCCATATGCACTCACAACAATTCCTAAAAAGACAAGGTTATCTGTTCCAAAGGTGCATTTCTTTAAGTTAGCAAACAAGGATTCCTTTCTAAGCACTTCTAGAACCTTTCTAAGATGCTCAATATGCTCATCCAAGTTCTTACTATAGATCAGAATGTCATCAAAGTAAACCACAATGAAATGACCTATAAATGATCTAAGAACATGGTTCATTAATCTCATGAAAGTACTAGGTGCTTTAGTCAGCCCAAATGGCATCACTAACCATTCATATAGTCCATGTTTCGTTTTAAATGCAGTTTTCCATTCATCATCCTCTTTCATTATAATCTGGTGATACCCGCTTTTCAAATCAACCTTAGAAAAGACGCTAGAACCATGCAACTCATCAAGCATATCATCTAGTCTAGGAATGGGATGTCGATACTTTACAGTGATATTGTTGATGGCTCTGCAATCGACACACATCCTCCAGCTACCATTTTTCTTTGGTACTAACAAGACCGGAACTGCACATGGGCTCATGCTCTCATGGATATGACCTTTCTCCATTAGTTCAGTAACTTGCTGTTGTAGTTCCTTGGTCTCCAAAGGGTTGGTTCTATAGGCTGGTTTGTTTGGCAGTGAAGCTCCTGGAATGAAGTCAATTTGATGCTCTATTCCTCTGATTGGTGGCAATCCTTGTGGAGCTTCTTCTAGAAAAATGTCTTTGAATTCCTGCAAAAGCATTTGTATCTTGCTAGGAAGATCCTGCACTGTCTTTGTTATGTTTAAACATTCTTTAAATATAATCAGCAAGTGAGGTAAGGAACTTCCCTTTGATTGAAGTAATAGATTGGCAGGCTGTTTGGCTTTTGTTTTTGATGGAGTTTTGTTCTGTTTCATGGCTAGCTGATCGAGATGAACTTCTTGTGGTGTCAAAGGAACCAGAACGGTCTTCTTCCCATTGAAATCAAATGAATATCTATTGGTGAATCCATCATGAATTGCTCTTCTATCTGATTGCCAAGGTCTTCCAAGCAGAATATGTCCAGCATCCATTGGCAATACATCACACAGTATTTCATCTTCATACTTCCCAATGGACAATGGAACCTTGACTTGATTCTTTACTTCAAGCTCACCCTCGTCATTAAGCCATTGCAACTTGTAGGCTACTGGCCATTTCATCATCTTCAAACCAAGTTTCTCTACCATTGTTTCACTTGCAACATTGGTACAGCTCCCTCCATCTAAGACTAAGCTGCAGACTTTTCCTTGAAAAACACATCGAGTATGAAACAGATTCTCTCTTTGCTCATCTCCAACAGTCTTGGTTTGCAGGTTTAGTGTTCTTCTTGTGACAAGTAACTCTCCACGAGCTGGAATTTCCACTCTTTCTTCCTCAGACTCAGAATGCTCCTCCGCTTCTGATTCAATCTCTCCATTTTCTCTAATGAATATTACTCTTTTGTTGGAGCAACTACTAGCATAGTGACCATAACCTTTACACTTGTAACACTGTATGTCACGGGTTTTGGATGCAG